AGGAAAAAGGCTAGATTGAGTGTTGAGTTAGCCGAATTAAGGTAAGTGTTTTGCCTAGCTTTGATGAGAAAAGTTTTCCTCCTATTTGTCATTGTTTGCTACATGCGGGGGTGATACATATGTGAGGCGACGAGCGTATATGTATGTGTTAGGGTTAATCATGCTCGGGGTGTGGATTATGTTACATTTATGTTTGTAGAATTTCGTGACCTCCTATTTCATGCCTTACTTGACTCTTAGATACTAAGAACATAATATTAAATGATAGAAATCAAGACTTAGCTTATTATAACTTGATCAAACTTGACGGAAATTCTGAGAATATAATGATGTGTCTAACTCGGTCATCTCTATGCGAAATCATTATTACATTACTACGACAAATATTCTTAAGATACTAGACTCTACACTTGATTTGTGAATCATTTGCGGGATTCGTGGAAGTATTTGAATAATACGGTTCTTGAGGGTTGTTGAATCATTGTTGACTTGGGAAAGTTATGATTTGGAATTTGTTTGGAATATCCGTTAAAACACTCTCCTTGATGTTATTTATGCTTCCTGCCTTGTTTATCATTGATATACATATACTTGGTAAGGAAGAGTGTAAAGCACGAAGGGTGATGTCGTGCCATTGTTATACATTATCAAGTGAGGGAGAGTGTAAAGCACGAAGGGTAATGCCGTGCCACATATAGAGAGTAAAAGCACGAAGGGTGATGCCGTGCCATTTCATTTATATTATTATGATTGTGTGTCATTGTGAGGTCATGGGACGATGTGTGTTTTCGTGCGAGCGAGGATGAGGGACATGCATTATGTTTGATATCAGTCTTCTGTGTATACGTTCATGTCTTTACCTTGAACTGTTATTATCATAATTATAGATCTGATGTGACTTGTAGCTATTGTTCTGTCATTGATCTCTATCTCAATTGTTGTTGTATTGCTCATACCTTCTACTTGCTTAACTTGCAAATACCATGCCTAATTCTTGCTTTTATAATTATACTCATGTCGTATCTATTTTATTGCACTTTAGTATAAGCCTTCAAACATGATAGTCATTCATGCACTTACTTGTTAACTTGTAAAGATCTTGTGTTTCCTTCTTTTTTGTTATATTTGTACTTAGGTCTCCATTGTGCTAGTTAATTGAAGTTGATATTCCTGGTTTTCCAATTGTTGTTATCACTCACGTGCTTTCCGCTTTGTCTTTTACTGTTTCCCTCAATTATATCCTTGTCCATTGTTGTTACTTGCGTGTTTCCTACTTTGTAATTCCTGTTATCAGTATTTTCGTCATCTGGTTGGTTCTGCTATACATACATTTGGAAGCATGAGTTGAACGTACGAAGAGTGTTGCCATGCTAATTGATTTGACACATAAAATATTTATACATGGTAAGGAAGAGATAGAAGCACGAAAGGTGTTACCGTGCCATTTGACTTGATATTTTGGATAGACTTCTCATACCAAGAATGAATGTAACTCTTCTACTGTGTTTCCTTCTAGTAAATAGTTGATTGTCTCGCAGAGTTGTATATGGTACTTGTATTTGTTATATTTTGAACTATCTATACTGTTATCCTAATGTACAGTAATAACAATAATCATCTTTTAACTAAAAGCCTCATCACTACTTCGACGAGGTTAGACAAAATACTTACCAGTACATGGAGTCAGTTGTACGGATACTACACTTTTGTACGATGTGTACAGATTTCTGGAGTTGAGATGCCGATGATGTCGTGTGCTGATTCTGAAGATGTTCGCGCATTCTGGATATAGTTGCCTCTTGTCCTTGGTAACTTAGGTTTTGTTATTCTGTTTATGTATCTTTCAAACAGAACGTGTATTTGTTCGTACCAGCTTTGTAAATTCCAAGTCCTACAAGCTTATGAGTTATACTATCAAGTCTTGCGTAAATTTGTAAATGTTCAGTTACCTATTCTCTATTTTCTTATGATTTCAGTTGAGTTGTATTTTCTGTTAATTGGCTTATCTAGCGGGTTGAGTTAGGTACCATCGCGACTTGTGATTTTTGGGTCGTGACAGAACAGGAATCACCATATGAAGTATTCCAATATGCATCATAAGCCTTCGAGTACATCATGGTATTATTTATAAAACATGCCATAGTTTTTTATACCAAGTAAATACCTCATAACTCTTGTTATGACATGCCAATATTCATTATCTGGCTTGCTTGTAAACGTGCTAAGAACTTCTACTGCGTATGCAATATCAGGCCTAGTGCAATCAGTCACATATTTCAAGTTTCCAATTAAGCTGGCGTATTTCTTTTGATTTATCACTTCAGTGGCATTTTGCACAGGAAGTAAGTGAAAACTTGAATCAAAAGGAGTTATAACATATTTGCAATCAAAAAATATATTTTTCAAATTTTCTCAATATTATGTGATAGGTTAGGGAAAATTCTACTACATGTTCTAATAATTTTTATTCAAAAAATAAAATTTGTCTCACCCAAATCTTTCATGTCAAAATGGCTATTAAGCATGCTATTAGTTTCTCTAATAACATTCTAGTTAGCACCAAATATTAATAGATCATAAACATAGAGGAAAATAATAACGCGTGAATTATTCCAAAACTTATGATAAATGCACTTATCACACTTTTTTAATTTAATCAACTTTCACTCATGCATGAATATTCAAAATTTCCAAGGAGGAATTTTTTATTTATTTTACTCCCACTATTTCTAGAATTATAATAATTCATAATAATAAAATCACATAGTCATGATAATATAAGGTAAATTTTACCTTTCCTTAGTTAAGCAAGTAGAAAAGTTTTTACCTTTTTATCTCATAAAGAGAGTGAACAAACTTTGATATTCGCTATTTTTTTAATTGCATAAAAAATTTGAATCTCCCTAAAATTATTGTTGAAAATACAATTACAGTTGAAAAATAAAATAAAAAAATAAAATATCTTCAGGCTGAGGCCCAGATATCTCGCTCTCTTTAAGGAGATTCAAGCCCAGTTGCAGCAAATTCTTCATTGGTCCAACAGTAATCCTCTTGACTTGTCTCCCCCAGGATACAACAGCCCGATCATGTCGTATGACTCGAACAACCTCTGGACAAGTTGTTGAGTCCAAATGTCCATCCAGATGAATACCTTCCTTCAACAAATATAATTTTTTTTTTACAATTTAACCTCATTTTGTTGAGCCCTCTATAATTTTTTTACACGCCACATTATGGAAGAAAAACTCTTATTTATAGGTGTTTAAATTCTTCCTTGGATTAAATTGAAAGACAGCGGGGAACATGCTACAATGGATGAATTAGTGTGTAATTAGTGATATAACATAGGAGAGTACTTACAAAAAAGTTATTGACTATTTTCTACATCATGGAGTACATCAGAGTTATGGTTGTTTACAAGATCATGGGGTAATTAATAAGAGATCATGGCATATTTTATTCTAATATTAAAATGTTATTATTCTAACAGTTTGTTTTGATTCTTTATTTAAAATTGATTGTATTGTTAAATTCATTTTTGCGGAACAATGAAAGTCTCATTTTATGAAACAACCGATTTGGTGTGGTGTGATTGATTCCTAATTTTCTTTCTAATTATGCCCCTACTTATTACTCCATAATTTAATCTTATCCTCTATCTTTTTACTTATTTAATCCACCCAAATACCGTACTTTATCTTTCTTCTTTCTTCGTCCAACTTTTTGGTTCGTTTTCTCTCTCTCTTTTTTTTTTTTTGTATCTTTTTATCTCAATCTATGTTCTCTGAATACTTTTTGTTGATTGACAACTTAATTTACTCAGATTTTTGCCCTTATTTTGAAACTAGAAGTACTTTTTTTTTTTGTTCATGACCATTTTTTTTAGTTCTCCTTATTGTGCTACAACTATTTCTAGTTTTGAAGATTTTCATTTTTTATTAAGCTGTATATTCTGCTAATATAATTTACCAAGTTAAAATCATGGTTTAAAGTTTAACATAAGCTTGTCATGTTTGTTTGCAACGACATCTGGTTTGAAGATCTATATTTACATATATTTAATTAAACAATATAGTTGAAAATTTGTGCTATGGCATTTGAGGGTATTTTAGTAAATTTATCAATTATAAGACAATATGATACAGTTAAACTAAACATAAAAATTTTATATATCCAAACCTTGTATTCATAAAACAATACAATACAATACATTATAAAATAATAGGTAACGATGATCCAAACAAAGTATTAGTAAATAGGACTATTTGTTATTTTATTAGTATTAAATAAAAGACCACACCAATTTTGCTGTCAGTAAATTTGGACCTTGTCTCCTTTTTCATTACTATTTACTACTCCCACATTTATCATTTAGTTATCGTGATAAGATTCTACGCGCCCATTAAAAAAAACTAATAGAAGAATAATATGACTAATCTATCCCTTATTAATTTTCTATCTGTGTGGCTCTTAATAACTAAGGGTAAAATTGTAAAATAATCATAATAATAACAATAACAATAACAATAACAATAATTAATTCTCTCTTGATTTTCTAAATTGACAAGTATCTAAGAACAACTCTTTCTAGTATGCATGACAACTAACTAAGAATGGACGAGTATTAATTACTTTATTTGGTCCATTTTTAATTGTCATTTTTTTCTTGCAAACACTACTAAGAAACAACTGATTTGCGACTGAATATTTGTGACCGAAAGAATCAGTCACAAATTTGCGACTGATTCAATCGGAATTTTCAAAAATAATATTTGTTATATTTTTTTTATTGTTTGAACTATTTTTCCGATAACATTGGTCGCAACGTCTCGCATAAAAATCCGGGATAAATTATTGCACGGATTCAATCGGAAACTAAAAGTCAAATAATTTTATTTGACCATTTGCGTATGTTACAGGCACAAATATTAAACTTTGGTCAAATTATTTTTTTTAAATTGCGACCGAAAGAATCGCTAGTTTTTGATATGGAATCAGTCGCGGATTAGTTTGGCGTGGAATATATTTCCCGCTAATCTCGCACTAAATTTGCAGCGCAAAGTTAAAATTTTCAGAAAATTTAAGCGCCATTTTTTTTCTTGTTGTGAAATTTAACTTAACAAAAAGAGAAAAAGAAGCACTCTTCTTACGGCTTAGGTTTTTCCCAAATCAAATACTCCCAAAGGTTAGCTATTTCCCCAAATCAAAGACTCCTAGAACTCCCCAATTCTCCGGAAATCTCCCTCCAACATACTCCGGTAAGTTAATTTGTTTTCATTAGTTTGTTGTTCTATGAATCTATGTCTCCTCATAGCTATTGCGGGTGGGAATTGTTTCCGCTCTCGCTGCAGAACAAATATTTTTTCATTCTGTTTTGTAGTATAATTTTTCATGTACGTTAGAGTGAGTGAGACGACTAACAGTGGCTGCTCTTACCAGTGCTGTAGAGAAAACTTAACAGGGAATCATAAGACTGGTATGTATTGGCTCTTACGCCGACAACCCTAGTTTTTTCATTTCTCAACTCTATAAATTTCTTCCAATTAAATTAATGGGTTTAATTATATGTATGTTTATGGATTTATTACTCGCATTTATTATTGATTAATGTGTTGTACTTTCTGTGACGTGAGCAAACTTAGCTTTACAATGACAGTAGATAGTGATGAAATATATGAAATCTTAGAATTATGGTAGTGATTCAGTTGAGAAAATCCTAGAATTCTAAGTATATTTGCCCGATTTATGCTCTCTGATAAGCTAGGGGCTCAGTCTTATCAAATCTTATTTAATTGTTTGGCGCCTATGGCTTGCATATAGTTTGGATGGTTTTTCAAAAGTCAGCATCCAAGGAGTGAGTTGAAATCGTAAGGTTTATTAGGTTGCTTTAGTAATTAAGAGAAGTCTCATAACTTCAGGACATTCTCAAAAAGCATTCCAATGATAAAGGTTCATAATAGTTCATCTACCACTAAAATTCTAATCCAACCAACTATAGTTGATAGATGCAAGAAAAGGTAGAATATCGATCCTTCAACAGTTGCTTTATAAACTTTCCTTCATCTTATTTTTTTGCTATTCGAATGATTTTTTGCTACTCTTGTAAACTGAGACAAGATTACAGTTACTACTCAAGTAATCATTTTTAATAACTTTCTTGAAACTTTTCCATCTTTGCATGAAGACGTTGTTTATCTGAAAGTTTATTAAAGATGGACGAAGAATGAATAAATAGCTTTATTGGAGTAATAGCAAAATTACATGCAATTCATGTATTTTTTGGTAAACTATAACTTTATGATTGTGTACTTCTCTGTCATTCTTAACTGTTGAGTGAAATCCATTTCGATTCTATTGCTATGTTGGAAAAGACAGAAGATGAGAAAGACAAGGGAATTCACTATTTCACTATGTCCTGAATAGTAAGGGCGATGGGTAAAAGCTAATGGCTGGCACTCATTTAAAGTTAAAATATGCAGCTGCTTTTGAGGTGAATTCCGCTAAACTACTTAATTAGAGTTAGTGATTTTGTTTTAGCTTGAAGTTTATACTTACCATTTCACTGAGAATGAATTTTTGGAAAGTGATGTTTGGAAACAAATTTCCTTCATCTTATGTTTGTTTCATAAGCTATTTTAGGGTGAACATCAGTATTTGTCCATTGTATAATTATAGAACCATATTATAAGTATATTATATAAGGCATAAAGTTGTTGACATATACATAAAGATGTCAACATGACTTATTATGAAAAGTAGACAAGGTCAGACGGTCTAGATATCTTATAGACAATTTTGATATTGAAGAAGTTCATCGCTTTGATTCTTTAACGTGTACTGCTTTATAGGATTGATGTTGAATTATTGACATTTACACGTTTGAATATTTAGTCCTCTTCTTATCTCCATTCACAGTGCATAATTGTTCTGGCATAAAGTGCTCTGAATGGGTAGATTTATGTGGTATGATTTGTAACTTTTGATAAATTTAGCAACTAATTCAAACTTAATGATTACTTTTCCAAATTTAATGATTCAACTTAAGAAGTTAAGCTTATTATCGTTTCCAAATTTATTACACAGATGGATTCTCGCGGTAAAAAAAATAAAAAACTCTAAGAAGAAGAAACACACTTTACCTAGATCAAGTCAGTTTCCTCAATCTATACCAAATATGAGCCCTCTTCCTATACCTCTTCGTCCTTCCATGCTAGCTTCACAGTCATCTGACTTTTTCAAAGTCCTTCTGACATCTAGCTCGCTTCAGTAGTACTCCATGCCTTCTCATGGTGGCTCAACTTCGACCACCATTAATTTAATACCCACGCCTCATTTCCCAGCTTCTTCCTCGTGTGGTCCTGCTAGTCAGATCGACAGCTCACCATCGATTGTCCCCGAGCCATCATAGTAGCCAGCATGGTGGTTCATCTTTTGTGCCTCATACATTGCCCACTCAATTATCATCTCCAGCATCATCCACTCCAAGTATATCTAACTTGGCTATTGGAGGCTCTCACGCAGCTGCATCCCCATCTACTATTACGTCTACAAATGCTGGTACCGTGAGACATTGTACTAGAGGGACTGTACAGTACGATCATCTTTATCGGCCGATTATCATTCCCCGTGACGTTGGGTGAGTTTTTATTCAATTTCCTTTTAAAAACTTCCAATAAAATTTTGCATGTAATGAATTTAATGACATTTTATATGTTAAAATTAAATGCAGGTTTTTGCCATCCTTTCAGGTCGCGCATATGGTGATGGAATCTATGAAGACATTTTTTGACGAGCCATGGAATTCTTGGAGATAGATACCATACCAGATCAAAATGAATATGTGGCAACAATTTAAGGTAAGATAAATTAATTTTTATTAATATTTATCCTCATTCGTCTAATATTTTTTATTCAATTTTGTAAGTTAAGTGCGTATGGCAGCCAACATTTGAAAATCTGGTGCATGATAACTTCGAGAAGAAAGCATAGAAGTTGATAACAAATATACATCATGTTGCTAGGAAAGGTGGCAAAATGCCTAATTGGATACGTGAAGATGTCTGGAATCAGCTCTTGGTGAAGTGGAACACCCTTGAGTGGAAGAAGAAGAGTGAACAAGCAAAGTTAAACAGAGCTTCTACTAAGGGTGGAGCATTTCATACTGGAAGTTTATTAGTTTTGCAGCCCATCGTTGGAGAATGGTAATTTCAATATAAAATATTCTTAGTTTTACAAGTATGCAAATTGAACATATATATAATTAAAGCTTAATTTTCAGGAAAAGGAACGTGGGGGAGATGTGATTTATGCTGAGGTCTTTGCAGAGACTCATAAGAAGAAGAAGGATGGCACAAGAGAAGGATGAATCGAACCGCGTACTTTAGAGATATTTGTATAATCCAAACACCAACATTATATTATTTTTTCTTCTTGGTTTATTTTATTTATATAACGTGTATTATTTTTATTTTAGGACAAGTATCATATTGATCTTGATACATGGCAACAAACTCAACCTGAAAGAACTTAGCCGACCCCAGAGGATATGACTGCAATTTGGACACAAGCAGCTGGTGGCGTGAATAAAGGTATAAATATCATATAATTATCTATTTTGGTATTAATTTGAAATTTGCTTGTTTGTTTTCTTACTTCTTTTACTTTCTTTTCTTTATTTCTCGTGAAAATAATAAAATAAAGGCAGAGTTTGCGGGATTGGAGTACAGCCATTGTGATGACCCAAAATGTCATCTTTGAATTAAATAATCATCTCAATATTTTAAGACCTTGAAAAGTGGTATAAATAATTTCTCGACTTGCGTGCGCAGTTCGTATAATTTTTCGAAAGATTTTTATGTGAAAAATGGATTAAATTGTGAACTAGAGCTTTAAAACTCAACTGAGTTGACTTCGGCCAACATTTTGAGTAAACGAACCCGAATAAAAGTTTTGACCATTCTATAGTTCTGTATCGTGATTTGGGACTTGGTCATATGCCCTGAAATCGAATTCAGAGGTCCCTAGATCAAATTATCACCATTTGACCGAAGATTTGACTTTTGAGAAAAAGACCTCGGCATGGAATTTTGATTATTCCAATAGTTTCGTATGGTGATTTTGGATTTAGACACATGTTCGGATTTGGAAGTCTGTAGGATAATTCGGCGCATTTTGGCGGAAGTTGGAAAATAAAAGATTTTTGGAAAGTTTGACCGAGAGTTTGACTTTTTGATATTGGGGTCTGAATCCAGTTCTGAAAATTTTCATAGCTTTGTTATGTCATTTATGACTTGTATGCAAAATTTGAAGTCATTCGGACTTGATTTGATAGGTTTTTGCATCGAATATGGAAGTTGGACGTTCTTAGATTCATTAGGCTTGAATTGGGGTGTGATGCACGGTTTTAGCATTTTATGATGTGATTTGAGATTTCGACTAAGTTCGTATGATGTTTTAGGACTTGTTGGTGTATTTTGTTGAGGTTACGGGGGCCTCGGGTGGATTTCAGAAAGTTAACGGATAAAATAAAAAAAAAGCTGTTGAATTTTTCTCTTTGGAAGTTGCTGATTTTTCTACAGCAGTGAACAATACCTGTGAACAACGTCTATGAACAGTGTATGTGGAATTAATTGGTCTACTGTTTAATACATGTTCCCTCTATTTTCATAAAAAATGATTGTACTTCATGTTAGAATCATGTTTAGGCCTTATGTGATCACTGTTGAGACCTACGAGGTCGTGCATTTACTGAATTAGCTGCTAATTGCTGTTTTGTACTTAGTCATAACTTTTTTTGCTTATTATGCCTCCGTCTCTTGCTGTTCATTGTTGATATATGACATTACCTCTGTTTGGGCTGTTTATATGATTTTTGAGAGCCCGAGGGACTGGAGAGATTAATGACTGAGTGAGTCCGAGGGCCTGATTTGTGAGGATATTTATGGGATCGGGTTATATACCGCAACATGTTGTTATTAATTTATGACTGAGTGAGGATGAGGGCCTGATCTGTGAGGATATTTATGGGATCGGACTGCATGCCGCATCATGTTGTTACTGATGTATGATTGAGTGAGGCCGAGGGCCTGAGTGATTTATGCCACGAGGTGGCTTGTTATAGCGCTTGGGCTGAAGGAGCCCCTCCGGAGTCTGTACACACCCCCAGTGAGTGCAGGTACCTACTGAGTGCGAGTGCCGAGTGCTGAGCGACTGAGAGGAATGAGTGAATGTGAGGAATGAGTGATTGTGAGGTTGGAGTGAATGAGAGGACAGAGTGACTGTTAGTCTGAGAAAATACATTTACTTCATTACTGTTGCATCGCAGATGTCATATCACTATTTTAAAAATTATTGAAAGATATTATTTACTGCTCAGTCAAATTTGATATCTGGTTTATTGAGTACGGACTGATGTGACTTGAAATGTTAAACTGAAAGTACAACTACTCTTATTTGAAAGTTATTGAGATAACTCTATTGTATAGCTCGTCACTACTTCTGAGTTCCTTATTTATTTCTGTTACTTACTGAGTTGGTGTACTCACGTTACCTCCTGTACCTCGTGTACAGATCCAGACACTTCTGGTCACAGCGGTTGCTGATTGAGGAGTCAGACTCAGGAGACTATTGAGGTAGTTGCATGACGTTCGCTGACCTTGACTCTCTTTTCCTTTCATGTTGTACTGTTATGTATTTCCAGACAGTGTTTTATCAGTCGGATGTTATTATCATTTAGATGCTCATGCACTCAGTGATACCGGGTTTTGGGGATGGATTGTATAGTAATTTTGGAGTTATATTCTAATTTTAAAAGGATTTCTTTAATATTAACTGCTTCCATCTTTATTTGAAAGTTCTACTGTGTTGAGATGTCGAGTTAAGGCTTGCCTAGTTCCACGATAAGCACCATCACGACAAGTGAGATTTTGGGTCGTGATAGCCATCCTCTAGTCGTCCACCAACAGAATTATTCACTGGGGCATCAGTTTCCCAGGAAGACATGGAATCTATGCGTCAAAGAGTGGATCAAATGTCGCAAGAACTTCAAGAAACTCAGGCTTTGATCTAAAAATTGTTAAAAAATAAAAGCAAGAAAAGAGCTGCAACGGAGTCTGAGTTTGAGGAGGAGATTGAATCTGAATAGGCTATTTGAATGTTTTAGAGTTGAAGTTAGAGACATGTTTAATTTATGTTGTTTGATAGTTTGTTGTTTCATTAGTTGGTTGAATTGTTATAAATATTATTGTTTGCTTGTGATAAATATTGAATTTTGGATTGTTATATTAGGTTTTTGGTTAATTGTTAGGTGTTTGGTTGGTTGTTTTATTTGGCAGGTGGGTAATTAGAAATACAGTAGGATTCTGCCTAAAAATGCCACGATTTGTGACTGAATCCAACACAAATATCACCAGGAATTATCTAGCTTTGCGACTGATTCAGTCGCAAATTGAAAATTTCTAACAATATTTAATTAATTTTTGCGACTGAATCAGTCGCAAATGGATAATTTTCGATATTTTTAATTAATTAATAATCAATATTTACGATTGTTTCACTCAGAATAATTAATTAAAAATTAATTTTATTTTTAATTTTTTGACGGAATCAATCGAAACTTTTTATTTATATTTATTTTTTAACTCTGGTCAGTGATTGAATCAGTCGCTAAATTTGCGACTAATTCAGTCGCAAATTACTTAATTTCAAATGTACCCGCTTCTTTCAATTTGCGATTGAATCCGTCGCAATTTTTTGACTGATTCAGTCGCAAATATATTGCGACCACGTGTTTTCTGACTGACTCTTTTCAGTCGCAAATCGGTCGAAAAAATCGATTTTCGACTGATTTGACGGTCACAAATTTGTTGTTTTTTAGTAGTGAAATCTCTTAATAAATTATTTAAGAAATCATAAATAAGAAGTAACTTCTTGACAAATTTACTCTTATTTCTAATTTCAATATATGTGCACTCTATATATATTGTTTATATAGTTGACAAGTATTTTGGGAAAAATATGTTTAGTAACCTTAACAACTACTAATATAGGACAGAGGGAGTAATGAGAGGGGCATTTTGACCATTATACATTTATCTATATCTTTGGTCATTCAACATATTAGACTTTCTTCTATGCTTTGTAATTAATATTTTTTTTACTTGTTGTGACGATCCGATCGGTCGTCTTAAGAATTTACACCCCGATCCTCTATTAACTGCCTTCCATGTATTTATTTCTGCTATTTTGATTTGCCGAGATGTTCGGTTGTGAGTTTCGGAGAATTTTGGGACGCTTAGTCCCTAAATGAGAGCTTAAGTGTTGGAAAGTTGGTCGTAGTCGAAACAGTGTGAAGATGGCCTCGAAATGGAAATTCGATCGTTTCGTTAGCTCCGTTGGGTGATTTCGAGGCTTAGGAGCGTGATCGGATTGTGTTTTGGAGGTCCGTAGCTAATTTAGGCTTGAAATGTCGAAAGGTCAAATTTTGAAGTTTCCGGTTCTATAGTGAGATTTTGATCCGAGGGTCGGAACGGAATTTCGGAAGTTGGAGTAGCTCCGTAGTATTGAATGTGATGTGTGTGCAAAATTTTAGGTCGTTCGGACGAGGTTTGATAGACTTTTTGATCGAAAGCGTATTTTTAGAATTTTGGAGTTCTTAGGTTTGAATTCGCGGTTGATTCGTTGTTTCGATGTTTTTTTTAGGTGTTTTAAGGATTGGTACAAGTTCGGCCAGTAGTATTAGACTTGTTGGTACCTTTGGTTGAGGTCCCCGGGGCCTCGGGTTGATTACGGAAGGTTGTCAGAAGAATTTAGAATTAGTTTGAGCAACTTCAGCTGCTGATTTTCTGTCATAACCGCACCTGCGGTTGGGTCCCGCAGGTGCGTAGCCGCAAAAACGGCATCGCCATTGCAAAAGCGGAAAAGGGAGAAGCCAGCAGGGACCGCAGAAGCGGGAGCTTCACTGCAGAAACGACCCCGTATCTGCGTAAGTTTAACCGCAGGTGCAGAAGCTGGGCTTTAAGTGAAATATCGCAGATGCGACCATGTCCTCGCAGAAGCGGGACCGCAGACAGGGCCGCTGAAGCGGATTAACTGGGTAGAAACATATAAATACTTGTCTTCATGAATTTGAGCTATTTTCACCTCTTTTCAAACGGAAAGAAGCCTTTGGGAGCATTTACAAGAGGGATTTTTAGAGGAGTTCATTGTGGTAAGGTCTTTGGTCCCTAAACTCATTATTCGAATGATTTTTATCAATTTAAGCATGAAAAATTAAGGAAAATCTGGTAAATTGGGGGTTAGAGCTTGACTAATTAGAGACCTTTGAGTGATGATTTGAGTGATCATTTGAGGTTCGATTTTGGTACTTTTGGTATGAATGAACTCGTGAGAGTGTGAAGATTCTAGAAATGTAAATTTTTCCTGATTCTGAGACGTGGGCTTGAGGGGCATTTTGGTCATTTTACCTAATTTCGTGTATTAGCTTAGAATTTCTTTATAGAATTAGTTACTTGAAGTGTTATTTATATTATGAAATTGAATTGACTAGATTTGAGCCATTTGGAGTCGAGTACTCGTGGCAAGAGCGTGGTTTCGGATTGATTTGAGCTGGTTCGAGGTAAGTGGTTTGCCTAACCTGGTGTGGGGGACCTTCCCCTTAGGATTTGATATATTTGATAATTAAAATGCCTTGTACGTGAGGTGACGAGTGCGTACTTGAGCTAATTGTTGAAAACCCGATTTTCTTTAAGTAATTTCTACTATGTTCCTTTTCCCCCTGTTTTATACTACTTGTAAATTTAAGCCTACTGTTAGCTTAGGAAAACATGTTTAACTGACTTAATTGCTTACCCTGCCTTAATTATATTATGTGAAGCATGTTAGGTTAGAGTTACCTGTTTTACTTGGTACGAAATTTAGCTTAATTGAGTATTATTTGTGTTGCTGCTATGTGTTTTATTTTGTGACTACGGGACAGCATCCCGGGAGATCCCCTGTACGCGTTTATGACTTGAGCGGAGGTGTGGGATACCCAGAGATCTCTGGAACGTATATTGAGGATACCAAGAGATCCCTAGCATATATTGAGGATACCAAGAGATCCTCGGGATACCAAGAGATCCCTAGCATACATTGAGGATACCAAGAGATCCCCTAATATATATATATATATATATATTGAGGATACTGAGAGATCCCCGGTTATTTTCCTTATTCAGAGTGGTATTTCCTTGTGATTGTCTTTATCTCTGTTCCGGTTATTGTATTCCTTATTGTCCTGTATTAAATTCTTACTATCAGTTTTCAATTGTACTGCTTATCTTATTCTGTCATCTCTTATATTTATTTAACCTCAGTAGGGCCCTGACTTTCCTCGTCACTACCCGATCGAGGTTAGGCTTGGCACTTACTGAGTACCGCTGTGGTGTACTCATGCCCTTTCTACGTTGTCTTGCATGTGCAGATCCAGGTACTTCGACTCAGTCTTATTGCCCTTGAGGCGAGGTGACTTCTCCAGAGACTTCGAGGTATATCTGTCGCGTCCGCAGACCGAGGAGTCCCTTTCCATGCTATCTTCTAGTGATAACCCTTCTATCTTTTCTGTTGATGTAGATATTCCAAAGTTAGAGCCTTTTTATTATATTCGTAGCTTGTGATTTATGGGTTTCCGGATTTTGGGAAAACTGTATTAGTTTATGAGCATTGGTACTGTATATGCTGAGTGACACTTTGAAATGCTGTTTTATTACACTATTTCTATTTTATATTGTTTTCTTTTCTTCTGCAAATTTGGTTTATCTTCCGCATTTTAGGCTTACCTAGTCGTAGAGACTAGGTGCCGTCACGATAGTTCACGGAGGGCAAACCGGGGTCGTGACAAGTTGGTATCAGAGATCTAGGTTTATAGGAGTCATGAATCACATACCGGTTTATTAGAGTCTCGCTGATCGGTACAGAAATGTCTATACTTATCTACGAGAGGCTATGTAACTATTAGGAAAAAATTCCACTTCATTTGATTTCCTTGTCGTGCGAGATTTTTGACATTACAATTCTAAACTTCTGTCTTCTATTCTCTCACAGATGGTGAGGACACGCGTTGCCCGAGATGATCAGGCACCCGCGCCCCTTACAGTAGCCGTCAGAGGCCGGGGTCGGGGTAGAGGCTGAGGATGCATACGTTGTGCAGCCAGAGCACCTGCGCGAGCTGCCACTAAGGTACTGCCCGCAGTTCCAGCCGGAGTCCAGGCACCTGATACGCCTACTGCTACTACTACTCCAGCACTTCAGGAGACTCTGGCACAGTTCTTGAGCATGCACACCACTTTGGCTCAGGGTTGCTTCCCCTTGCTGCAGCTACGTCTCAGGCCGGGGGAGGAGCACAGACTCCCACCACCCGCACTCCTGAGCAGCGAGTGCATATTGAGCAAGTCCTTGAGATTATTCCCGTATACCCTGCAGTCCGAGATAAGCCCGAGGACAAGGCAGCGGCTTCCGAGGATGAGCAGCTGAGGTTTGAGAGGTTCAATATGTACAAGCCTCATGTATTCAATGGTCTAGCATCGGATGATGCTCTGGGATTTCTAGATGAGTGTTACCGTATTCTCCGTACCATGGGTATA